AACTATGATATTATAAAAACTAAGTAGAATTTAACTATAATGTTAAGATTCTGCGTGATATGTCTTGTTATCGGAAAAAAATATAAACTCACAAGATTGCGTTTCAGAGCTTTGCACAACTTCCGACTTCCGTCAACCAGTCATGAATTTCCGGACAAGAGAAAAATGGGCGTCGCAAAATCTATTAAGCGGCATACTCGATTTGGGTGATTTGGCATCCATTGATTATTTTCTCATGCCCATCAAAAATCAGTATTTATAGTAATACACACAGATACCCATATAATGCACAATGAGTAACGAAATAATGGTCAATCGGACTTTGAAATGTTGATATTCAATATACTATTATATTTGCTTATATATATTTCGTTATATACGCCATACAATATAAAATAAAGCACGCTTATTACAAAGTGTTAGTTCCATAACAATTTAAAATCATTGAATACAAAAATAAAATGACATCGTGATTCCAATACTATATCCATCAAAATAATAATAACAATAATATAGTTATAAACAATATACATAATATATCAGAAATATTGATGTGTCTCATTATAAGATTAGTTATGGCTAGTATAATAACAATTTTGGATAAATAAATATCAAATTTGAAATGCTTTTACGTTTGTTTTTATGATGATTTAAAAATTATTAGTATTTCATTGTTTTACCTTAAAATTATAAGAATATAAGGAAAAAATATATCTTTTTAATTTTAAATTTACTAAAGTTTAATCTATCAAATAAACAAATTTAAAAAAAATATCATACGTCTCAAATATTTAAATATTGAAATACACATATAATATTTATAATAATATTCAATATTGTATCCGGTAACTATTTTTTTTTTTTTTTTAACTATAAACATATTTCAAATTAATCATCATATATTTCAGTTATTTCAATAACACATATATTATATATATATATATTTATATCTTCTCACATATTTTGTGTTTTAAATTTTAGCTTTAATGCGAGGTTAATTGGTAACTAATAAATATTTATTTAAATAATAAATAAATATTTTTTTAAGTTTTTCATTTATTTAAAAAAATAGGGATAATATCATTCAAGTAACTGTTCGTTGTATTAATATTAAGATTTGTGTTATTATATGTATTATGTGTGTTATTTGTAATATCTTTATTTACCTTGAATTATTCAGTGTACAACTTATAATATTTAAATTCATTTAAGGACACTTATACATACAAACCAATACAAATCTGAAGATTTCTGACAATATTTTATATTATATTTAGCTAAAAAAGATAATAACATTTGTAGTTATCCGATTAAGTTTGTGAAAATATGAATAAATATAAAATACGGCGCCATATAATAGGTTTATCACGGTTATAGTGTACATTAGTTCACAGGAAAATCTGTGTCGTTGAACATTGCTTTATGAAATAATTCGACCGAAATGAAGATTCCACCTGTAGCGGATTAAATATAGAACTATTCTTTAAACTTTCTTGATATCGTTAAGAATAATTCGAAAAATCAGTCTAGTAGTTTTTGAGTTTATAAAATTGATTTTTATTCGTGAATAGATGATAGAAAATTATATTATGTTATTTCTATAACCAATGAAAACTCTATATAGGTGTAAGTAAAAAATATATTTTATTGTCATGAACAAAAACAAGCTTCATGTGTTAGTCAGCTTATGGAGACTATGGAAACCTAATATAATCTAACTATAAGTATAAGAAAACGAAGTTATACATTTTCACCGAGTCTTAAGAAATATATTGTGCACAAACAATGATCCTAATTGCTTGAGTAGTTACTTACTTTAATATAAATAGATAAACTCAACATTATTATCGTTATATTATTAGGCTTTATTCACCATAGGCGGTGAGCGGTGATTGTGTAGCCTAAGGGCTTAAGATCTTCAAACTCATATATTTAGTCTCCTTAAAATGATTAGATACTTTTTTTATAAAATATCTAAGGATTTGAATAAAACTACGGGAATAATGTTTTATTAGGATTATTTTGTCTTCCCTTTCTGACGAAAAAAAATATGCATGTAAAATCTCTAACTATGTGTATTTTTATAATAAGTAATAACACTAATGACGCATCACAAGATGATGCGATCACAATAATTTCTATCCGTTCGCTAAATTATACACCACAACTCAGTTATATATTGACGTAATCTCAGAATTTGTGGTTTCGCCAGATCGATAAAATACCTATTATAGTAATAATATATGCGTATGTACACTATACACAGATTATACATATTATATCAATGCACAATAATTGCATTATTTATAGTTTATGTTATTCTAGTGATTCTGGCAAACGTCTATGTCTTGAGTCTCATCATCTGTTGCATAGGCGTGTGCGCAGAGGAAATCGAGGCAGCATATGTTGCTACTGAACATTTGTTCGGATTGCCGTACGATCGTTAAATATTTAATTTAGGTATTAGATAAATTGTATTACCTACTACAAAGTTATATTTCCAAAAACTATGTACATTAAAATAAGAAATACCATTGGTTATTAAATTACAGCTGTATAATAATAATATATTTATCGGAAACTACAATTCTAAAATTTTTAAAATGTGATTCAATCGCTCCCGCTAATTATGTTTTTTTGTTTTTTACATCAAAAAGTCTGAATCTCAAAAACTGCTTCACAGTCATATACGGACATATGGCATACAATTTTGAGAGGCTAATTAAACGATTTCAATCCAATGCATACAAGCATACAAATTCACTATTATTTGAATTTACTATCTACACTATCTCTGGGGATCCTAGTAAGCGCCTGAAGTAAACGTGGTATTGATTTACTGGCTGACTAATCCTACTAACTAGTAACTACACATCTTGAAATACCAACACTGGTTGGCTTTTTCACACAAACCAACTTCTCGATATATATATATATATATTTTTTTTTTCTATATGTATACATTGTTAAATATTTTCAATATCACTTATACTTAATGTAAAATAATATTAACAGATTATTTTATTCAGAAATTGTATTCATTAAATGACAAGTGGATTTTATTTTAATATTAGTGTAAGGTGTATAATAATGGGATTTTTTTTTAATTTGTCTGAATGATTAACATTAAAGATTTGTTTAATAACTTGCATGCTTTAATTTTATAAGTATTTCAGCATTTGTAAAATAAATTGTTAGAGTTATCAATTAATTACATATTTAATTATTTTTGACTTTTGTTATACGTATTTATCGATAGATTTAAAAATATGCTGTTATTGGATTAGTCACTTGGGCAGGTGTATCGATTTCTATATAAGCTTGATGGTCTTAAAAAGTCAACAGTCATTTGTATGTAGTTAGAACTATGTTTATAGTTTTCCTACTACTACACCGTTTTTCATAATTTTCCTGAAGTAGAAATAAGTGAAAGAAAAATAAGGTTACATCATTTTGAAAAATTTAAATTTATATTTATTTAAATTATTATAACGCACGAAGTCGTAATTCATGAATACTCCTGGTACGGTAATTTAAATTAATAGCTATGCTACAACATTAATAAATATAACATATTTAGATTATGTACTACATTTAACAATAATAAAACGATAAAAATGTATTATAAGGTAACTATTATAATAATAAGTAATAATAAAAATTATGTAAATATGATATACCTATTTTATTGAATAGTTATACATTATATATATATATATAATCTATAAATTAATAAAAACTTAGGTATATATCTATATATTGACTTATTTAAAAGTAAATTAAGTTTTTTTAGGATAAACAATAAAGCGATATGAATAAATTTAATCAAACTTCTCACTTTTAAACTGTTGATAATAAAAAAAATAATTTGTTTGTGTTGCATATTCTAAATTAAAAAATGTGTCAAAATGAAAGACCACTAAAATTCTATTATTATTTATCACTTAGTTTTACGTTTTGATTGATCAAGTGGAATCACATATTATATCATGTTTATATAGATTCTCTTACCTTTAAAGCATACGAGTTATATATATTATATATGTATTGAAAATATTAAAAGCTGGTATGCGTATAGTTGTTTACTTAATTTTTAGAAAAATGTTTTATTATTTAGAAATAATAACATACCCAGATGGGAGAGGACTTGAAAAATTTAAACGTACTAATTAGTAAATTATATCTAATAAAAAGGGTAAACATTGTTTTTTTTATTACACCTTTTTCTGTTTTAAACCGTACGAATAATATGTACATAACATTGTATAAATATCATTGAGGCATAATATCTTGTCCGTGGTCCAATTATTTAACTAAATCTTGTTGAATGAATTATTTATAAATTTTATCATACAGTATCAGTTAGTTCTTCTTTATTCCAAACCAATCATTAAAATTAGATAATTTCTTCCGTTATAGTTCATTATAAGTACATTTTCATCCTGTCTGGTATCTATGACGAGTGATAATATTTGATGAAGTGTAACTAAAGTCATAAGACGTGATGTGACAAATAATAATTATACATATAACATATTTATACATATTATCATGATGTGATGGAAATCGGACGCGTATTTGATAAGTCGTGAAATCTTAAAGCAACATTAATTAAAATATAAATAATATACTAATGATTAGAATATTAAGCCGCTTTTCCCCTTCCCACCTTCCCAGCCGTGGTGACGGCACATACGACTCGGGTTAAGAAAATAACGTCACAAAACACCGTCAAACGGCTGTTATTGCTCTCGACGACAAACGCATGGCTCGGTCGATGTGTTTGTTGTGTATAAAAACCCGAGTCACTCTAATACGTGATAAACGAGAGCGAAATAACGCGTGGAAATTCATTTTGACCCCCCCCCCCCCGACCTGGTCACGTCGAGCGTTTTACACGTATCTTACCGATCGAAACGGCGCTCCGGCCCGATAAAAACTTGCGCAGCGTCCTGTAAAATATTATGTGCTCATGTGACTTTTCGTGTGGTTCGCCTCAGGTGTTGGAGCGGACGACGACGTGCGGTCAGCGTCCTCCGATGGGCCGGTCGCCGACGCCGCCGCCGCGGTAACCGCACACGGTCGACGCCCTAACGCAATGTCGGCCACGGGCGCAGCCGCGCTGGTGGCCGCGGCGCTGGTGTTGCTGCAGTGTGTGGCCACCGGTTGCGCCGGACAGGGCGCGGCCATACGGCACGGCCGGTCGCGGAACGCCAGGAACCTGCGGCCAAACGTACAGGCGCCGGCCAAGCCGCAGCAGACGGGCGCGGCCGCGAGCAGCGAGCTGGACAACGACATCGTCAACCGGCTGCTGCGGATCGTCGAGTCGCAACAGCAGTTGGGCGACAACTGCACCGCCGGTACGCACCTCAACCTCGGCGAGGGGGTCGTTGACCGGTACGCCCAGGTGAGTGATCTTTTTGAATTTTTCACCTAACCTAACCTAACGTTGGCTGGTCGTGTTGTGCAAAAAATTAATCGTATTTGTGACAGAAAACGTTTTCTGCGAATTTCTCGAGGTCGTAAAATAATATCATTGATATTAATGCTCACCATCAAAATACAATTTATAATGTTTTATTTATTTAAGTTTCAGCGATAAATAAAACGAATATTTCAAACGTAATAATAATAATAATAATTATTATTATAAAAAAACAGCTATCCAAGAAAACAATATTAATATTACAGATTAAATTTGTTACTCTGTATTCTACGAGAAGATGATATATTCTTCAATATCTGCACATGTATTGTTTATTCTTTATTTGTAATCACTGTAATCTTACTATATTTCTTATTTATTTTTCTATATTTTGTTTTGGATTGATTTCTAAAAATAATTATTATCAGTGTATCGTTTTTCATACACTAATATGACGTTGAGCTGACAGCATTATATTGGTAAAAATAAAGGACTATTATAGAAGGCTATGTTACGCGTCATCAGTTAGGTCACGAACATCGGAATTTTTATTTACTTTTTTTTTTTTTATAAGATAAAATTTTTAAAAACAAGAAACCAATTCAGTTGTACAGTTTATTATTATGAGTTCAGAATAATATCGATCAGTCGATTGAAAATCGTATTATGTCTCTAATAACAAACTATAATAATAACATATTGTATACATGGAAAATAGTATTATATGTAATCAATAGTATGATATTATATTTATGTTAAAATTAAAAAAATAAATAAATAAATAAATGTCGAATGATATAATATTTTATAATATTATAGTATAACAAAACATTTAGTACAAAGGTTAAGATCATATTTATATACTGTGTAGTAAGGAAATATGAATCTATCATCTTGCATTATCTTTATTTTTTAGTATTATATAAAATAGCTTAAATACTTAAAAAAAAAAAAAAAATGCTATATTGTTAAAAATACATTGTATGAAATATATTTTAGGTTGGTCGGGTTATTAAAATTTACCTTTTAAAAAATATCATATTTGTTCATCTAAGTTTACTTTCCCAGATCTTTTCTTATGAATGTCCAGAGTTAAATTTAATTAAAAAATATATATTATGTCATTTAAAAGTTTCTACTCTTTTCAATTAAATAATAACATCTATATAACAAAACCTTTTATAAATCAAATAGATTAAAATAATATTAAAAAAAAAAAAAAAAAAACTGAAACATGAATAATAATATTAAATACAAGGACTGTATTATTGTTGTAGATGCTTAGAGTTAGAAAAGTAAAAACGAGAAGCGTTTTTAATATTTAATTAAATATTTACATCTAAATTTTCTAAAATTTTTTTTAATTTGCGAATTATTTATAATACCTAATTAAAAATATTAATTACTAAGTAATATATTGAAGAAGTGAAATACCCAAATTTTCTGAAAATGTTTTATTTTTTTTGATATTTTTTCTTAGTGATATTCTTGGTTTTATGGTTGTAAAAATTTTTTATTATAGGTAACCAGATACACCTAACTTGTTTCATTGTATGAACAAAACATCATACATTTAAACATGTACTATAGTAAAATCTAGATCTAGTGTACGCACATCCTGAAAAATGTAAAATGTATTAAAAATATACTAAAAATACTTCTTGAAACATATTAAGTATTTAATATGATATAAAAAATGTTTGTTTAAGAAAATAGTTATTTTCGTGACAATATTCGAAATACTAAAAATAGTATATTAAACACAACTTTTAATAGGCTTGATATTTATTATAGTTTATAACGTGATTCTCTTGTTTCAATATTTAAAATCATCATCAGACTAAAACATAATAAGAAACCCATATCACGAAAAATATTGATATTCCCTTAAAAATAAAAATATTTTTAAATTTATTATAAAACTTAATAAATGTAATTTCGCGATCGAACACATTTATTGTTAAAAGTTAAGTTTCTGAATGAAAACATAATATTTAAAATATATTAAAAAATGAATAAATCGAAATATTTAAACTACTCTAAGTAAAATGTATAAGATTTCAAGATTTTCGATTGAGCATATTTTTTGGAAAAAAAAATACTTATAAATAGCTTAAAATTAGTTTTCAAATTTTGAAAAAATTACGTTGTATAGTAAATAATAAATTAATTATTAATATAATGTTTTAAGTATTTATTATCGATAAATTGTTTCAATAATAACAAAAACCATTTTAGGATAAATAATAGTGTACTAATTTTGACCCATTTTCGAGTAACAATTACAATCAACTTTGTTCCAGGAGCCATTTTTAAAATTGAAGATAGAATTATTTTTTCTACTAGAAAAAGTTTCTTAAGATATACACAGAGAAATAATACACATTATGGATAAACAAATATGTTACATACATACATCGTTTCGCTCAAAATCTAAAAATGGACTCCAGAAAATTCTTATAAAAATAACACCAAAAATGAATTAGTAATTCGTTGCTTAAACATTTAAAAAATTAAATAATCATGATTTTTTTTTCAAATTTATCAAATGAAAGATTGGATAATAATTTTAGAATTTCTCTTGTATTTAATTTCCTAATTATTTAATGTATATAAAATAATAGAAATTATATTAGTTATTTATTGCAAAAAATTATATAATCCGGTGGTAATACATATTAAAAAGATAATTTTTACTAATTTTACTACTGTTAGTATAGACATGTCTGACGAGACATTAAATTATAATATTTGCGTAGTATATGTATTATTTTACTACAGACATTTATCCAGTATTTTTAATCAAATATAACTGATATACAAATTGTAGCTTAAACTGTCTTATTCACAAATCATTTAAATATTGCATTACATTTCTATTAGATAATCATGATCTATATTGATTATTAAATTGAAGTAGGGACCTAGTAAAAAAATATAAGAACTGATAAAATACATTTGTTTCATTAAATTTGGAATGAGAAATAAAAATTGGTAAATATGAAATTTTTTAAATTATTTGCTATGTATTATATGTTTGAAAAAAATGTTTAGTAAAATGGTAATTATTTGTATAAATTGTTTTGGTATTAAATCGATATTAATAGTTTATGATTTTTTGTTGATATATGGTTAATCGATTTATAAGTATATTATTATACCTAACTACCTACCATAAATATAAAATTATGTTAAAAGTCATATTATACATTTTAGTAGCCAGTCTATCCCTGAAATAAAATTAAATAGTTGTAATTTTATACAAAGTATACTAAAAATATAATTATTAAAGTAGTTATGTGTCAAGTATCGATGCATTTATATCAATAGTTCAAAAATTAATGATTATAATGCAATGAAATAAGTATATTAATAATAAATAAATTTAATAATACACGTTAGATTTTTGAATAAAATGTAAATGGATTATACAATTTTTTTAAAATTAATATAGTAAATAAATATTTTTATATTACATTCGATCAAATCGGACTTGTAAAAGTGAACGTTATTTATATTTTTTTTTGAAACTAAATTATAAGTTTTTCTTATTACCTATCATAAAGACACTTCATTGTTTTAAAATTATCCAATATAATTACGATTAATGACGAAACGTATAAACCTATTATTTACGCATTTTTAATAAGATTTGTATTTTGTTCAGACACAAAAGAGCATTTAAACACTTACCCATAAATTGTTTGCTAAAAAAGTTGATAGATTTATTTTAACATTAATAATAAGTTATTGAAGACAGCTATTGTTTCAAAAAAATAAATATGGTAGATGCATTTTCATATTATCATCCCAGTGTGAAATAATAGTAATTTATTTGTATAATATTATATTCATATAGAAAAATGAAACGTAATTAAAATGGATACTTTATACCTATAGAAGCCATATGCACGATGACGCTCCAAAATAAATAATATATAGTCATATTTATGTAAATCATTGTTGTAAAAATCTATAGAATAAAATTTAAATTTATCATTTTTATTCATTTATTCAATATTTTAAAATGTTTTTCCTAATAAAACAGTATTAAAAAACCAGTAGTTGTTTAAATAATAATTAAATGTATTATTTTAACAAAATTGATAATTTATTATTGATAAATAATTAATAATAATTTATAAATATGTATAACTATGGAAAGGTAAAATATGGTGATTGTAAATAAATTGTGAAAACAAAATAAAAATACCAAGAAAGAAATTTTGATTTATTTAAAATGTTTCAAATGTATATTGTCATTGAGTAGTTCACTTAAATGTGATATAGATTTGATAAATTTGAATTCAATGTTAAATTCATTGCAAACAAAAATCGATTCTGGATGTTTAATAATTTATATATATATATATAAGTAATTTATTTTTATATTAGTTAAATGAAATGTTTAACTAACTTTGACCCCGTATACAATATAATTGTATTAATAATTATAATATATCATATTATTTTATTGTTATCAGTTTAGGTATAAGTTAATATTAATGTACATTTTAGTGGTATAAATAAACTTATAATATAAATAGCTTAAAATGTATCTGTATTTTTTGAAAATTATATTCCCTATAAAATAATAATAATAATAAACGTTATGAAGAAAGTTTAAAGTTTCTATTTGTAACATTTTTTGAATTGCTACAATATAATTAATATCGTCGGAGCAGAATTCTGTTTTTTTTTTTCGTTTACATATACGAGTACTTACTTAATCCCATACAAAATCACCTTAATTTGCTATTTATCTGGTACAAAAACGAGGGATAAAAGTTAATGAAACAAAGTCCATACAGTGCACATTATTCTAAAACGAACAGACTCCCCCACTGTAAACCTCTACAACCTACCCTTACTAACTACTCAAAATATTTAATATATGAGTAAGCATTCAACATCTAACCTGAACAATCCAGATCCATCTCAAGTGCTTTACCTTAAACAACCGCTCTCGTTAATTACACTAT